CAGTGATCGGACGAGAACTGGTGCTTTCAACGTGGTATGGCCGTAGACATTCTATGGGAATTTTCCAAGCGGGTCTTTCTCGCAAAACAGGCCAAAATGTCTGCAAAAAGGAGTCTACAGCACTCGGTGTTCCCAGGCGGTCACCCATCCAAGTACTAACCGAGCCCGACGTTGCTTAACTTCAGTGATCGGACGAGAACTGGTGCTTTCAACGTGGTATGGCCGTAGACATTCTATGTGAATTTTCCAAGCGGGTCTTTCTCGCAAAACAGGCCAAAATGTCTGCAAAAAGGAGTCTACAGCACTCGGTGTTCCCAGGCGGTCACCCATCCAAGTACTAACCAAGTACTGGACAATAATTCAATATATCCTTCCGCATGAAAATCTGTCATCATCTCGCAAAATCTGAATGAAAGGGCAATTTCAGGGCAATCACATTCCAAATCTGGAACAAAAAATTAGTCAAAAAATAGCCATGAAAAAATCTCGAAGGGTGGGGAAAAAGACTTTCTTAAAAAAGCAGGGACTACATTCGTATACAATCATTTGCATAAAATCTTTGAGTTGTTCCTTGTCAGTATACTCGGTCCTATAATATTATTACGAATCGCAGGTGGATCTTTCGTATATTTGAAGCACAAATATGATACAAAAAGTTGTACCTTATACCCAAAATATTAGAACATCCAGATTTAACTCACTGTTCAGAAAGAAGGCTATCTTTCATCAAGTACTAAAACTGAGTATACACATACGCTCACCAAACATCCAAAATACTAGGAATTACAAGTTTGATTTATTTTCATTTTTTGACATTTACGGCCTTCATTTTAACTGAAAACCATTTTCACACAAAAAGCCACATCGAAATCATGAAACAATATAGCCCGTGGGAAGGCCCAGGATATCAACTGAATCTGTTTTTGCTAAGAGTGAAAGAGACAAAATGTCGCTGATCTGTACTCTACATCTGTGGTTTTTTTGGGATAGAGTGTGAAGAGTGCATAAGTCAGCAATCAGAATGCTTGTCACATTGTTATCTCACGCGACATCGCATTCATTAGTACTTGTTGACTGTTACGCTATTCTTACACTGGACTTGCAGGCGATGCTTCATTCGAAAGTTAACAGATTAGAATATGAAATTGCACAAAACGTTTATCCTCGTCGTTTGTGGTGTAGAATGAAAGTAATTACTAAGATAGTGCTAAAGGCCCCGTTTTTCTCATCCAATTGTTAATGATTTCCGAAGTGGAAATTTGAATTAAAGTTGTGTTAAATGTCACCCTTTTCTGCCAATGTTTATAGTGTACTTCGGGTGGCGAATTTTTGTGTTATAGCATACAATGTGGACATACAATGTGTTTCGAGGTAATTTTTGTAGCCAAAGGAACTATCTTGAACAATGAAACCCATTAATAGCTGCAGGTGTCTTAACTTGCTGTGCCACCAAGCTCCGTATAGTACCAGTGCAGATATTTTATTTACGTATTTATTTATTTATTGCAAGTAAATAAAACATAAGAAAACAAAAAAAAACCACAAAGATATGAAAGAAGAGATATACATGTATATTATATGCAATATATGAGGTATTGTTCAAGACTAGTAGATGAATTATTCAATTCTTCAATTAAATTTGACCTTGAACACGAAGAAAACTGTGTATATTGTAACATTGGTCTAAATTTTACTTTGAAAATATGATCTTTGAAAGTTATCATACCCTTTTTCACCAATAACAGTGCATTTTCTTGTATCCTACCCTTTCTCACATAATACTGAGTTCTGTATAAGAATTGATATTAAAAATGACAATATATATTCATATTTTTGTGATTAACTTTGAAGTTTTTAGTTTCTATTTATGCATAATTTAAATAATACAAATATAACTACAAGCTTGGCTTGCTGCTAGAACCAATTAATATTAATGTGTAAAGAAACCACTATTTTTACAAGGATCAGGATCCAGCATAGTCAAACCTTTTGGCATTGATCTATTTCAGATTATACATATCCTTTTACAGCTGGGTAAACAGGTTTTCCCATGCTAAAACCAAATAGATTTACTGACCGATGGTTCTTGCAAGAAGCCAACACAGCACCTTTTAAACAGAAATATTTTTAGAAAATGAAAATGAGAAATGGAAATGAAATGAAAGAAAAAAGCACTTAACATATATATATATATATATATAAATAACATAAAAAATATAGACATACCAAGTAAATAAGATTTCATAATAACAAAAAAACTACAATAAATAATTATTCTAAATAGAAATGCACAGTATGCACAGTAAATAGGCAGTTTTATAGAAATAGATAAGCTCTATTTTAAATCATGATTTCTTAAGTTATTATCATCATTCATTTTATAACTCTATTCTATTCAATTAACCTAACAATACAAAATTTTACATAATGGGAATTGGCAGCAATGACATTTTTAGACATCTAGAGCTCTTTTTCACAAACATTGGATTTCATTTAGTAAATGACCTTAAGACACTTTAGCAATGACTTCAACAATGTTACTCAATCAAACCTTATATCCTACAAATTGATAGTCTCCAGTTTCCTTAGAAAAAACCAATGAGTATAAGGGCACACATAAATTTATCAGGAAAAAAGTCAATGTCAAATATTTTCTATTCATGTTAATACATCAAAAATATTAAAACAAAAACCTGACGCATGTTGTTACTTAGTTCAGATTATATTTCAATATTTCTATGTACTACAATTGATTTCCTTAACAGTGTTATTTTGTTTTTGTGTGTCACATATAATTACAGGCAACACAACTCTCCCGTACTAGATGTTTTGTATTAAAGGGATACGGTCATTTTATATATTTGCTTTTCAAGGTTGAAGCGCTAAATTTCAGTTAAATGTATCACTTTTTAAAATCACTATTGGACACTTGTTCTTCCAACAATTAAGTAACACCTACTGTTGTCACTTTCAGGGTTTTATTAACATTTTCTCCGATATTACCCATAAATGAATCTAAAAGTTTACATAGATATCTGAAATTTGGCTTCATAAAATGAAAACCAAATATTCGGATGACTTTTTATGAATTTTAGGATTCCATTGTCTTTCTTTATTGACTGAGGATGACAAGCAGTTTGTAACCACTCATAAGTAATTTAACACAAAATTCATTGTTCAAATAACACTGATAACATAATTGACTTTGCATAGCACACACCATTCACATTCATTCTATCATAAATTAAGTAAATCTTCTATGGATTTCTGTCGTGAGAATTCCTCAAAACATCTTCGACCATCCATATATTGTTGAATACTATCATCTAAATCTTCTTGTCTTAAACTGGTACTAAACGATGAAATTGTACGACTTCTGTTTTCAGCTAATCTGTAAATATATTAAGAGTATGAATAGCCTCCTTTTTGACAATGTCCCTGCTCTTTCGACATGAACTTATCATGAAAGACACTGTGGAGAGTGTTTCCAAATCTTTATCCATAAGGTGCAATGATGAACCACGATTCTTTCATTCTTATCAATGCATTGCGATGGATAAAAAAAATTCTGATGTATTGGCACGATTAATTCGGAGACCCCATTAATAACAAATGTCACAGAATTCTTGTGTGTATAAGAAATTGTGCCATGTTTTCATTTCCCAAGTATGATTGGGAAAATTTGTAAAAATTCATTTCTTCTTTCTTCTTGAGATTTTTTTCACAATACCTTACTTCTAAATGTTCTCTAAGTGCTTAATAGTGACAAAATTGTTAGTAATTTTACAAATTTCTATTTTTCATCCTTCTCTAATAAATGAATCACAATAATCATCACAATAAATCGTATTGTAGGATGAGTATCATATAGTGTATCGATTGGCAACTTCAAGAATCGTTGCAGCCAAGCACAAGCAAATTAAATCAACAAGCTTGACATGAAATGAGTCATGATCATTTATGAAGATGGATGTTAAAGACAATGCTTGGTGTTTATAGTAAGTGTAAGCAGAGTCTACAGGGTAGTGAAATTGCTTTCCAAAACGTGAACAGCGTGTTTTTAAACCTACCTTGAAAAACTCTCATCTTCATCTTCATCATCAGAAAATTTTGTCTGTAACATAAGGTATATCACAATACGATATTACAAAACAATATTAAAATCTTTCAAATTATGACTAAACTTACGTTGAGATGACTATGAACTTTTCAGCATTTTAAATTTCAACATGTATTTCCAATAAATGAAGGGATGACTTCAACCTTCTACATAGAAAGATCAGTAACATTTGAATAAATTTCTTAATGTAATTTAATGCAGTCATTTCAAATTGTTTCCTTCATTTGAGATATATCATTTTCAATAAAGCCTTCTGTAACATTGTTATGTACAAACTTGATTATGCTCTTACCCAATCATGTTTGGTACATTGTGTTGATGGGGGGTCATCTTTTAAGAGATTTTCTGAAAGAATAAAAATGTACACTGTCATGACATATTCTTTTTGAAGCAATGGACAGGGTATCGAAACATTTTCAAATCTCAAGCCTTAGCTTATATCGTACACTATGACACAACCTACTGACCAGTAAAAGTAATGGTAGGAAAATATGGGGTATAAATTATAATCACCTGTGGTATATGAGACTAATATATCATTACTAGGCGATATTAAACTGTTATTATAATGGCTATGGTTGGTATTAATACTGTTATTCTAAAACATAAACATTACATTGAATGACAAACTATGTATGGAATTTATAAATAAAAGTTATCATAATATGAAATTTGAAAGCTTAACAAGTGAAGTACAAACAGCAGAATATCAATATGAATTGCTGGAGATAGCAGACTTTACAATGTGATTAAAAAAAAGATGTAAAAGTAAATATACAATGTGCTATCTTTGGTCAAATTCAAATGGTGAATTTGACCATGGTATTGACATTTGATAAAATCTAGGTTATGGACTATTTAATTGAAATTATTGAATGAATTAAACCTTATGCATATATTCTTTTTCACTTTGTAATTTTCTACCCTTTGCTTCTTCCCAATGGTCCTGGGCTAGACTAAAAGCTTGTGAAACAGTTAAGGTTACAGCTTGGGCCTGAAATGATAAGTGGTTTCATTTTTTTAAAATCAAGCCATACATTTAATAAATTTACCCAAAGTAAAAATGATGGAATTTTAATCAATATTCCTAAATCTGTCCAGGGGTGAATTTTAAACATTAACTTATACTGTATTTTGCCAATTAGAATTCATATAATAAAAACGAACGCAAGGAAAATTGACTACAAAACAACTTACTATTTTTGATTTGGCACATAAATAGGCATGACATTCCATTGTTTCATTTGTAGTATTTCTAGCTATGAAGGCAAAAACTTTGTCATGATTCTTATCAGCCGTACAGAAAGAGATTCTGAAAAAGATACCAGAAAATACAGTCAGTCAAAAGGGTTTCTTAAATGATAAATTTAGATAGAAAGTTTACTTTCTGCCAAAGGCCAATGCCAAAAAATATATCTCTATCTGTTGCATGCACCAGTGCAAAAATATAGTTTATTTATTACCGTTCAAAAAAAAACTCTGTCCAACATCAAAATTGAATTCAGATACATTTATTTACAATCTTAACATCTATATGAATAAGCTTAAAACCTTAATTAATTCTTGAAATATCCTTACCTATAAATGGAGATATCAAAATCAATTTGTTCTGTTGTTAAATCAGTCATTAGTATACCTTTATGTCTGACAGTTAATGATACTTTCTTGAGTTTTTTACCAGCTGTTTTGGCCTATAACATAAAATGAATGTATTACTTACAGTACCTTACCTGGTAATGAAAATTCATTTTAACAAACTGTAGATGTAACAGAATACTTTGTTAAAAGAACAGCTGTTTTCAATTTGCTCATATGGGTGAAATCCAGAAACATCCAGCTTTATGTAATCAAATTGGTGAAATAGGCTCATTATAGCCTATAGCCTTTGTATTCTGCCATTATATAAATCTTGCTACATAAGCTTACATGATTAACAATTCTTTGGACAGCTTTCAAACTAATAGTATCTCCATAGCTTTCATCTTCAGGTATCTCTTCAACTAGTGTTGACCCAAGGTATTTCAAATAAAAGGTCACCCCATCTGCAACAGGTTCTTTATTTTCACCCCAACCTTCAGGTAATTCTGAAATGAGTTGATTAGCATGACCAAACTTTTATTTCTGAGTTCAGTTCATAATATCATAGGTTTCACTGACAAGGCCTACAGCAATAGTAGGCTAAATCAATCAAATATGCCTAGAAGCCCTTTTTCGTTGACAATTTCAGTCTTTAGGCTACTGTTACTAATATGAAATTGAAAGGAGAGTATACATTTAATCTGCAGAAGACATAAAAAAAAATAGCCATATGTTTTAGTTATAGTAGATACATTAGGAAATACAATCCGAATATGTTGGCAACTTGAATATTGAAAACTTAAACCAAACCAGGCAGTAACAACAAACAGCGTCAAAATTCATAGGGTTATGTTATAAAACGAGTATACCACATTATTTCCTGCCTTCAAATATAATACAACGTACAAAGGGTGAGAAATTTATTCAAATTCACATATATACTTACTTGTATGTTTTGATTTAGTCTGGTTATCACGAAAAACATTTGGGCTTCTTCGTACTACCCTTCGGAGGGCGTCCATATTGGAAATATTTGACTAACAACTTCCGATTCGCTGTAGTCTCAATTTTCAAGTCTTGAGCTCATGCTGGCGTTGCCTGGATAGTAAAGACTAATTCAGGAGATCAGTAACAGCCAATCAGAATGAAGGTCGGGTCGCATATAAGGTCATAAAAGGTGGGATTTATGTAATAAGTGATAATGATTGGATAATTATCGTCATTCATAATCGCGTTATTACATAATCTTACTATGAGAAAATATATTACTATGTTCGTTGCCTCTTATGTATGTTAAGCCGTCTTAACCTATATTTCAACTATGAATTTGGCGAAAAAATGATCTGGAAACCAACAACACCGAATCATCCAATTTGATCCAATCCAACTACTACGACTACCAACAACTACCTAGTTTGCGATATCAGCATCCGCTGGAAGCGAACGTTAACTTGTCATCTACCTACCTATCTATATGGAAATACACAAAAAGTTGAAAAGAATATTGCAGGCAATTAGCTAAATGTAGCCGTTCTTTTTTAGAACCCCAAAACTATTGCGTTTATGTAAACTTTTTAAAGTTTAAGTTTTTGATTATTAAAGAAGAGTGAAGAAGTTCCTAGATTGGTGTTGGATAACGGATTACGAAGTAAATAGCATATAATTTAAGGAATCGGTTCGTGTCTACTTTACAGTGCGAGAACAATCAGAGCTTCAATATGCCACCCAGTGAAGTCCCCCTTTGAACTTTTCAATATAACTAATAACGACTGTTAAGAGATCACCTCCATTACGCGACCAGCGACCATGTATTTACACTCCTATGAAAGCAAATTCAGTCAATTAAGCGAGCAGTTATTATTTGTATAAACATCACAAGGTTTCACATAGAGCGAGATAAAAAAAAAAAGGGATTAGAGTTTATTGGCAATTTAATAATCTTCAAAAGATTAATACAATTATTAATTGATCATCAATCTAAATCTAAAAAGTGATTGTCAAAACAAAATAGTTGTGTTTGTTCTGACATGTTTCTCTTCTAAGAGACCACCTCCATAAAGAGACCGTTTTCCATTATTCCCTTGAGTGGTCCCTTAATACAGTTTCTAGGCTAAATCAAAGTAGCCTAATTCATAAGCTCATTAATTTGACACACGAATGTTCCTGGTGCGATCAAAATAATAGATCAAGTCTATCTGTGTTTAAGTATTGGCACTGTCAAAAACACAAGAGAAGTCCACTGAGAAAGGAGTGTGACTGAGAAAGACATTTATTGAACAGTGATCAATTCAGTGATTCGGCCTCTGGGAATATTACGCAAACCAACGGATTCAGCTTTACGGAAAATGTCGAGAATTGCCGAATGATGATTCGTTTGATACAATTAATCGGAAAAATAATTACCTTATTCTTAACAGTATCGTATACATATACAGAAAAAAACTGCGGTCTGTGGACTGAAAGTAATTTGAGTTATTCCCCTTTAATCCGATTTAGCTCATAGATATCCTGTCTATATATAGCTCAGTGATTTAACTCAAATGTATACCCCCGAATCAACTATTGAACTCAGCGATCTTACCAAACAACTGCTGTCTGTATATTGACAGTAAATCAAGTTATTTCCCTTCTATCTGTTGGGTTTCCATTTATACACCCTTGCAGCCTCGAAAGCAATTTTTCGGGCAAAAATCTCATAACTAGGTTAGAAATTCGCGCAATCTCAGATATTTCGCCCCCTCTCGGTCGCAAACCTGGCTCCACCACTGGGGCTATGGTCGTCTAGCGATTGGATACATTTTAGTCGGCATGACTGGGAAATTATACAGCTCAGGTCTGTAATCTCAAGATTCGATTTTCCTGGGAGCAGAAGGTGGAACATAAGCAGCTTACTTTTGGGTTTCGTTATCACACATTGTGTTGTTGTCATAGGTTCAAAATAACAGTAGAAATTGTTTTTCAATTCTAATTAGATTGACTACTTCAGCGACAGACAGTTTCTCCTTTATAGGCCTAGTTTTTTTTTAAATCCAGTTGCTCCCACAGGATTTGCCAATCGCAAGGTCGAGGGTCGAGCTGACTTCCCCTTCACGTTCTGAACTATTTTGAAGCTTTGAAGCTCATAATTATTATATTTCATAATATGAAAGTATAGTATCGAGCACCATCAATAAAAGTTTACGGTCAGAAACAAAAAAGCAAAACATGACATGTAAAATTTATCTATGAACATTACTATAACAGCTATAAAAACTGTTTTTTAACCAATAATTTCAGCACTTTGAACTGTGGACAATGGTCACTATCGGTCAAAATGAAACAAGATATAATAGCCTTTGATTCACAACTGGTCAAATCCCCGAGGTGGCCGACGACAGGCGTTAAAAGACGAAATTCCTGTACCTATGTCAACAAATTATACAGTTGTTTAATTATCTTCTCTTGTGGGGGTGCTTTCGCCACGTGCTCAAAAACTAAAATGCCTTCATTACGATACAAAGTCAAAACAAATATAAGCGCGTGTCCTTGTATCTCATGTTGTGCATCAGATTGATGAAGTCTATGAGGAAAATAAAAGGTTTCATTATTTGAAAGGAATCTCAATAAAATGATCTTGTTCTTGTATAGAATAGTTCAACATACACTTAAGCGGCTAAAATATTTAAGATCACATAAATAGTCTAAATTTATGAATAACTGAACTTCGTAGGCCCACTCTTCAACTGAAATCATTCGAACTAAATATTATTCGATAATGACAGAAATGTTGTATTGTATTGTATTGTATTGTATTGTATTGTATTGTATTGTATTGTATTGTATTGTATTGTATTGTATTGTATTGTATTGTATTGCATTGCATTGCATTGCATTGCATTGCATTGCATTGTAAATTGCATTGCATTGCATTGCATTGCATTGCATTGCATTGCATTGCATTGTATTGTATTGTATTGTATTGTATTGTATTGTATATACTCTATATGCTTCTTTGAAAAACTTTAAGAAAATGTTCTATAACAAGGTTATCTTGATACATAAATTTCAAATGTCTTGTTGAAAATTCATGGTCATTATGGAGAATTTCTTGATAAATACCATAATTCTGCTTCTTGCATTGTGGCAGATTTGTTTAGTCAAGCATCAATTGATTTGGTTGCATCTCATGATTTTGACCTATATATAGTAGTGGCGGCTGTCGTACACGAAGCAGACCATACTTACTCGTTTCGAAACACCTAATGGTGGAGGAGGAGTCCACTGTTATACATTTATTGCACTTGACCTATGCTATGGGTGAGATTTTTGGTTAATTGTTCTGCTTGTAAGGATCTTTATTATTATAGCGAAATCTCGGCATTGTGATATTATATCGTTTGTAGATTTGAGCAAAGCTGTCGAACCTGTTCGAGAGATTATGTACTTCTTAATCTATTCAAAAGTATGAGTTGGTTAATGGAATTGAGCTAATTCGAAGTGGATACTTATAGTGAAAAAAAACATTAGCAGTAAGATAAGCACAAATATATTTTGTTTATGTGAGTTAAGGCAATGCGATCTTCTTAGTCCACTTTCATTGAGCATATTATGATAAAAATTAACTGTTAACAGAACCATGAAATATTTATTAAGAAAAGATATTGTTATAAAAGTGTTTTATATAACTTTGGATTCCATCGAAATATTTTACATTGCAAAGAAATATAAATCAGCGGCGAACGGATTAATAGTCGATATAAAACTAAGAATATTGTGGTTCATAACTCCATATTCTATCAATAAAATTATAATACAAAATTCTGGATCTTTTTTTTCAGGTGGTCATATAGGAATGTTTATAGTCCATCCGCTATTGACGATATTTTATCAGGTTACAATGTGAATACCCTTTTTACATAATATATTTAGGCTATACAGCATAATTTTGGATAAGGTAGGCACCAGATAATTATTTTTTAGTACTCGGTGAATACTATTATTTATATGTTATAGCCTACATGTTGATCAATGATGTAGAGTTGTATAAATAATTGTGTGTGTGGTCGATTGTATTTTACACATATCTACTCGTCAATTGTTTTAACATTATTTTTGTATATATAGGTAATATATTGATGACGTATAACAGCTGTTCAGATACTTTACAGTTTCTTACTATTATACTTCATTCTCTATATAGTTCTTTGTCTAAAGCATGTTCTTACAAACTAGGAATTTTAACAATTTGTTCGATGTTTATTTCCATTTTTAAAACCAAAACCATCAACTAGTTCCATAACCTTTGTACTTTTTTATTTTCAAGTCCTTAATGCGAATTAAGAAAATATCATTGAAATATTCTGTAAATTATCCTTACTCTAGATCCAGTTTTAAACGTACAGAGAACAGTTTGTTCAATTATAACAGTAGTTTCTGAGGAGAGAGTACTATTGGTTGTAATAGAAAATTGCACCAATTTACCTGTGATGAACAGGCAAGTGCACAATTCTTTGTCGGAAGAGTTCAAAAGAGAAACGAATCAAGGAAAGATTAAAATTCAATTCTACATTTACTGATGTCTCTAATGGAAGATCACACACCACGTGGTTAACAGTCTGTCAATGGTAATTATGGACATGGAAATATTTCTTTCGGCATTCTTAACGCTTTCAGACAGTATGGTACACGCGAGTTGATGGCACTAAATCACAAAGATCAAAAGAGCGTCGTTAAGTAGATGTCATTTTATAAAGTGAAGATATATGTCCAATAGTTTGATATACTATCGAAACAATTTCACTCATTTATCATGAGGTATCAACGTGAGCTGCCTTGTCAAAGTAGTTCTGACCACCTTCTGATCTGACTAATTAATACTGAAGTTAGTTAAGTTTGGAATGTTCTTATTAGTTTACTAATTACTATCACCTTGCTATTACTATCAAACTTTCCAACTTGACTTATCATTATTTTCCTACTGAACTCTATGACATAACATATCTTAATCCTCCTTAATCTCTTTAGATCCGTAAACGTAGAAAACGAAATATCAAAAATGTTTGTTAAAGGTCGATTATTGGATGGCCATCATTTTCTAGTCATTGTATTGTACATGTATTATTTACATAATAAAAACAAGACTGCTTTGTTAATCCGAATGAATGATGGAACGTACAGATTTTACGAACGTTCTTTCGTTGACTTTTTATGATTAACAAATAAAACTCGATCTTTTCAAAGGCTTTGTTGTCTTATATCTGACAAAAGATTACAATGTTTTCCTCAACTACATATTTACTGCATAGCCCGTTTATTTTTTAAACCCCGTTGAAATTTAACAGTATGTGTGATTGATTCCCTTTTTTTCTGTTGTAAAATGTACATACAGTCGTTCCTGTGTATGAACCTGTGGAATGGACAGCGATGATGTTGCAAACTTGTTAATTTTCTAAGCTCCAGATATAAATGTACTTTTATAACCGAAATATTTTATTAAATCTTTAGCTTCGTCTGCATAAACAACGATCCAGAACTCATCTGATAAACTTAAGCATAGTTCGTAATTACACTATCATAATATGAATAATTGAGAGATATCTATTACCTTTGAAATTATATTTTATTCTATGCAATGTACATAAGCCAAAATTACTGACCAAAACTGTGAATATTTGAAATATAATGTTCCTGAAATATGACCAAAGTTAAAAGGTTATATTAGTCTATGCTTCATTAGTTGTTCCTTTTAACTTCCTTTTAAATACATTTAATAATAGAATGAGTATAAAAGTTCTCTGAGATTCACAGATTAAACATTGAACATCTTCATTATCAAGTGATAAAAGTAGGCGATAAGGAAATAAAAGATAGATTTGGTAGATTTCTATCAATCATTACTTACTATAATCTACTTGTTTGTCAATAAGAAATGCCTGGTATTTCTTCTATCTGTCTTATATTAAACATCGACTGAAGATAAGAAAGCTACAATTAAACACAACATTATTTCACCATTCAGACAAAACATTAAAGAATCGGTCAAACCTCACGAAAAGGAAGCTAAATAAAAAAAAAGACAGTAAAGTGGTTTTCAGGAGAATTTCTCCATTTTGATGTGAATTTTGATAATATTCTGCAGACCACAATATCAAATAATGATTTTTTATATGTTTCTATAGATTATTGTACTTTATATACACGTTGTACTTTACATAAGATTTGTACTTAATATACAAGTTTATTATATTATATAGATTACTGTACTTTACAAAAAGGTTGAGCTCATAATAATTTTATAAACTACTGTACTTTATATACAAGTTGAGTTTATAATAATTATATAGACTACTGTACTTTATATACAAGTTGAGTTTATAATAATTATATAGACTACTGTACTTTATATACAAGTTGAGTTTATAACAATTATATAGAATACTGTACTTTGTATACAAGTTGAGTTTATAATAATTATATAGAATAATGTACTTTGTATACAAGTTGAGTTAATAATAATTATATAGAATACCGTACTTTGTATACAAGTTGAGTTTATAATAATTATATAGAATACCGTACTTTGTATACAAGTTGAGTTTATAATAATTATATAGAATAATGTACTTTGTATACAAGTTGAGTTTATAATAATTATATAGAATACTGTACTTTGTATACAAGTTGAGTTTATAATGATTATATAGAATACCGTACTTTGTATACAAGTTGAGTTTATAATGATTATATAGGTTACTGTATTTTATATACAAGTTGAGTTTATAGAAATTATATAGACTACTCGACTTTGTATACAAGTTGAGTTTATAATAACTAAATAGAATACTGTACTTTGTATACAAGTTGAGTTTATTTTACATGTAATTATATAGACTACTGTACTTTGTATACAAGTTGATATCATTGTAAAAAGTCGAAGAGAATCTTCCTCATCTTCAAATACAGTGTACTCTGTGATATCCGACATCTGAGTATTCCGACATTCTGCGCAATCCGACATCATTTTCTGGTCCTTCTTAGTCTAGTTTGAAAAACTCTGAGTATACTCCGTCACTCTGTATAATGATTTATATGCGTCTCTTATTGTTTATTTATTAGAAATGTACTATTTAGAGGACCTTAACTTTAAAACGTTTAGCTAAACCACTAATGTGTTTGTTTTCTGTCTGTAAGTCGAAAGTATAGTCAGTCGTCATTCTCAAATGTCGAAAAGGTGGATCCCCAATTAAGTCTTGGTCATTCATTTCGCTAGAGTAAACTTTAGTCGTGTAACTTCACTTTGATTTAAACCGAACGCCAACAATCCAATTTTGTTTTGGGACGCCCTCACAGCTTTATAAATGTCATCTACTTACTGAAAAGCACACTGTAAAATTGTACTACTGAGCAACCCCACGCTTCCCAAAAACTTTGTTTGCTAACGAATTATCCTGAAATGAATTTTAGAAGCCAACAAGTCAAAAGTAAATAATGAGAACATTCCCGTATTGCTCGGTGACTTTTGCTCCCTGGGGTTTTCAAGTGGAAACCATAATTTCTGGTTAAATGAACGACCGCTCCCTTACAATATGATTTGTAGAACAAATGTTAAAATGAATTTTACCCTTTCCAAGAGATAACTAATTAGTGATTAGCAATTTACAGTTAAACATCTAATCTCTTCTACTTTAACTTCTTTAAATAGGAACTCAATCCTCTGTAACCTTGAAATGAAATGAAAAGACTGAAACCGACTTTGATTTCCATGTTTCATTTCCCAATAACGACGCTGATATTATAATATATATCTTTTATAAAAACATTGGTGAAATGCCGTTCGAATAAATGAATATGTAAATCATAATTAAGATGAACTATATAGGATCCAACTACATCTCACAAGGTTAATCTGGAATTTCATAAAAGGAAAAGAGATCTGCAGACCAGCAATATCCATGCTATATTTAGAATTAAAGACGATCACATTGTTTATTTGATTGCCGCCATTTGAGATTTGTTGTGTTTACATGTATTTATTTTCTATTTCTCTATTCTTTGTTTTTGAGCAGTGTATAGTGAGTAAGTTATGTTAGGCTCGTATCTTGTCAGATCAATAAGTTCTTCCACACAAATACAGCCTTGTCCAAGTTTCATCTAGTCACAAACCTAGTGTCATGTTGATTTAAAGTAATCCGCATCACTCAATAGTTTAACTAGCCAACCAATTCTTCCTCATCTTACACAATGTCCGTTTAACATCCCCGTCTACAGGTAAATAACAACACTCACTCATCTCTTACTACAGAAATAATAGTTGATTGTACCCGTATAGTCAATACAATCAAACATCTCTCATCGTAAACCTAAATCAACAACTTTTCTTAATGTTCAAATTTATTTAAGAGGATGGTGGATGGAGGGGTTAAACAATTCAAGATAAATCGGTGATGGTCGGAATCATGAAAATCCTTTTGATGTTAGAAATAAACGAGAGAGATGCGAGCATGGGACGGTTGATTCTTTAGAATGTACGTGTGACTTGTTGAGTGGAAAAGATTGGTGGAATCGTATTTAAATATTGAATACTTGATAAAGACTAACTATTACTTATCCTTACTTAATATCTCACAAACAATTCCTTCCAAGATATTTCAGGTATTTTTATATTTGATCAAAAGTCTTGAGAAAAGTATACAAAAAACAGAATTAGTTTTTAGACGAAATTATCGGAAAAATTAAATACATCGATTGGGCAAATTGTGGTTCCTCAGTCATAAAATAGTTTGAATGTTAGTTTTAAGATCAGACTCTCACATACAACGTATATCATAACATTTTTTAATGTCAGTGAGAACAAAGTGAGAACATCATATTATATCATATAACTTTATCAAATGAAGCATACACTTTTTAATATCAAGAGTTTTAAATTCCCCATTGTTTTGATAATTAAGTCAATTATTGATTTTTACAAATGTTTTGTTTATTTTAAGTTTTAATTATCTTTTAATGTGGTTTTATATTTATTCATGATTTTTACGTCATTCAAATAAATGGAATATCAATCAGAATACAGAGTCAGAGTTTACTACACGAAGAAGGTTGCTAAAGAAAGACACAACGATATTTTTGAAACCCGGTTTGCGTCTCCGTAGCACAGTTAATTAAACAATGTACACTAATAATTACAAGTTATTTGTAGACAGCATCTGTCTTATCAATCGTAAATTTCGTTTACCCCATTTTCATGTCTAATAGAAACTTGGAGTCTGGCTTTTGTTTATTTTCCATTTTCTAATGAATTTGGTCTACCATTAATTGTTTAGTGTGTAAGTGAACCAGGGTAAGTTTCAGATAACCATTACTTGTTATACCTTACTAAGGGGTGGTTAACAATTCACTTTCAAATTTTCTTTAATTCGAACACCGAGAAAAACATCGAAAATGCAAATGATTTTCACAATGATATTTGTTTCATTATTCGCTGGAATCATTGAACCTTTCTCAAGTAATTTTATCAATTATTCAGTAAAAACAATGGACCGTTCGCAAGTAATGTTTTTCAATACGATGGTCAGTTTGCACTTTGATTCAGAGAATATATTGCTTAATTAATATTTGACCAAAATTAAGTGAAAAAATGTTTCATTCGTAGTAAATTTTCTGATATAATTCATTGATACCGGTACGTGTGTTTAATTTGCACCATAATTCACTGAAACAATTTTTAATTTATATAGTAAATTTTCATTTTTATATATTTGCAGTAAAGTTTCACCATTATTCATATTAATTTTAAACATTGCTTAGTTTAATACGTTATTTTCACCAATTCATTGAAAGCAATTCGTAAGTAAATTTTCACAATATTTGAGTGAAAACAATACTCAATTCGCAATTTTCGCCATAATTCAATTGAAATCCATTAGATTTTCACCATAATTGTTAATTGCTCAATAGATACACATTTTTGAATTTATTGCAGAAGTATAACACATGGCTAAAAAGTAACGCTTTAATACATCATGTTGAGTAAAGACGAATTTAGGTTGAATGTGATTTTTCATGAAATCGCTTGAAATCAAATTGGTTTGATCATATTTATTAATAACAGATACCATTTGTCAACATATATATATAGAAAACAAATGCCATAAATAATACTAAATATACCCATCTATTGTAAGAAACTTGTGATTGTTTAAACAATTTTGTCGAAAGTGAAAGAAAGCACGACAAATAACGTATATTTCGACTATGAGATTGAAAGAAATACACACTCGCTTCCAAAAAATGTTGCTACAAAAGCTCTTCCGAATAGTAGTTATTTCAGATACTGTTCTGGTAAGATGAATTTGAGCCCATATATAAAAAAAACAAAGTTAACTAAAAGCACATTAATAATCTAGAAGAAATGTGAACAGTGTTATTTTTTCAGTAAAAGTATTTATATGTAATATGTAACTATTGTGAGAAGGGTCAGAATGTTTTCCTGTGTGGAGGAAATCAGTCTCACAAGTCTTCAAAATCTTTCTTCTAAATCCAAATAATGTATAAAACGTAGACATGTCTATCATATATCTGTTATAAAAATTATTGAAAAACACAGAATCAACATTGGAAACCAATATCATATACCATTATAAGATAAGCAACATTATGATTCACGGTCAGTTCCTTCGAGAATCTAAGATGAAATAATTCAAGATAGGGATATAATATGTTGTACTGATGATATTAGAAAAAGAAATTAAACCTGTTGCATTAACTTCAACGACGAGTCATCAAATGAAATTAGTGAAAATCTACTTTTCTTCTCGTTTTACACAGCACGTTGTATTTATCAAAGATTTAATTGGATTTTATTGAATGTAATTGTTTAAAGTAGATATCTACTTCGACTACACGTGTTCCTCCAGATTATCACACGAATCTTTATTGCTTGTTTTCTGCATCGTTTACAAGTAAATTTTATTTGGCGAAACTTACAGTATAAATTTGTCGGTTTTCTTCCCGAGGCATTTCTCTCGTATTTTATATCAATTTAATGTTCTCTGTGCTTCCATCGTATAAAATGTTCCTGGCAGATTTAAGAGGTAGAAAATTGACTCTCTACTGGTGGCAAGTTTGAAGTTTTCAATCACTTACACATGTTTGTCTCTGTATCGTCATCCTTTAAATGGTCTCAGATTCTTAGCTTCGCATCGAGATAAGGAATGTTGATCAAAAGTCCTAGAAGCTGGAAACACAATTAACCTACAATAAACTTAAAATCAGTCACAGTACCCTAGAAAATTGACAAGAATCTAAAACCTAAAATCTCACAGTGATACCATCTTACGAAATATATTGTAAAAAAACACGAATCATAATATAAAGTGACAAAATCTAATGGTAATAATTCTATAACATTTTACACAATATAGAAATATCAATATTATATACGTATACAAGCATTGTATTTTCAAGAATATCACAGTTGATGCATATAAAAAAAGGATGAAAAGGGATGTTAAAAGGCAGTGACGGATTGGACAAAAAAGTACAAAGGGTATGATAAAAACTTTTTGATCTGAAACAATGTGGACAACGTATGATAAACATCATTTCAATTATTGAAATATGAAGTTTTGTTTTAGAATAGACCTACATAGCAATCTACGTATTTGGAACGTAAACTCCAAGAATTGAAATATATCACTGTATCATTATAGTTCAAATTGTACAAAATTTTATAGAAAATAAACAGTGTAATTTATTCACAACGGTCAAAACTACTCACAATGGTCAGCCGTTTTACAGAATACGAGTTTAGTAATATATTCAAAACGGTCAATATTTTTACCATACAATAAGAGTACATTAATTTATTCACAACAATAATTTTC